TCCTCCCCTCCTCCCCCCCCCTCTCCCCTCTCTCCCTCCTCCCCCCCACCAACAAGACGAAAACCAGTCACGCAGTCGCAGTCGCAGTCGCAGCCGCAAAACGTACAAGGGAAAAAAAAGGAAAAAAAGGAAAAAAGGAAAAAAAAAAAAGACACCCCAGACAAGCTAGACTCGACAACTCACCCACTCTTACTCAGTCACTCGCTCACTCGCTCCTACTACCACTCACCCATCCATCCAACCCTCTACCCATCCATCCAACCCTCTACCCCACCTACCCCACCTAAGCCTCTCTTCCCCGAAGCAGCGCAGCCCAGCGCGGCGCACGCAGAGAAAAGAGGCTGTGCGTTTTGATATTAGATATCATATCATATATTCATTCAACTGCGTTGGTAGAGAGAGAGAGCGGGGGGGGGGGTTTAGCCGAAGGAAGTAAGGAAGGAAGGAAGAGGATAAATAGATGGATGGGAAAATGGGTAAGAAAGAGGATAGGATGGAGAGAATGGAGAGGAGGCCGGTGTAGGAGATTATGTAAAGGATTGGTCAATCCATACAAGGAGTTGTGGCTGGGTTGTGAGGATGGGATTTAATCGGATTGATGATGTGAGATGTCGTTTATTTGGTTGGGTACATGGAAAGGTGAGAGTCGACTCGCTTACCGCATAGACGCTACCAATGGCGATTCGACGTGGAGGGTTTTCAGCTCTACAATGCACATGTAATATATACCAGCGAGGTCACATGCGAAGTCACGGTTGAATGGAGAACGGGCACTAAGCAGCCAAAATGAAGCCCATATAGTTGAATTTCTTATGTGCAATCCACCTGCGTATTATCATTAAATATCGTTATGTAATTGATGATAGGCAATGTCAACCCAGATACCGGGCCTAGGCGCGGGGGGAGAGCTTCCACGACGGACGAAAAGGTGGAGATGTGAGGTACCTGAGGCGGAGAGAATGAAGAGGCCAAGACACACATCTCACAGGGCGAAGAAAGCCAGGAAGATAGCGAGCACACCTCCGGCGGACCCGAAGACAGGACCGCTGGCAGCCGAGTCCGCGGTGGGGCTGGCCGTGCCAGATGCGGTGCCAGATGCTGGGGTAGTTGACGTACGGGAGGTTGGGGAAACGGATGGCGAGGGTCCGTTGGAGGAAGAGGGAGAGACCGAGGAAGGGGCGGATCGGGCAGGCGGTGCGGTCGTCATGGCTGCGGAGGCCGTCAGCGCTAGTGCTAGAGAGCGATGTACTACGGGATAGGAGTTCACTTACGTCCGGACATGGTCGATGAAGCGGCGACGGGGGTCGAGACGGCGTCATCGTCGTCGTCCCCCGGGGTGTTGGGGGTCGAGACGGCATCATCGTCGGTGGGCGGGGTCTGGGGAGTAGAGACGGTGTCGTCGTCGGTCGCCGGGGTCTGAGGAGCCACGGCTACGACAGGCGGGGGCGGTGTCTGGCCGGCGGGTGGCAGGTAGTAAGAGTCGATGCATGTTTTTTGACACGAGGCCCAGTTGGCGTTTCCGGTAGCGGACCCATCTCCCCTGTCGCAGGCCTCGATACAGTTGTACGTCTGAGGAAACGGGATGGTCAGCCAAGGGTGCCATGTTGGGGGTCTCGGGGGGTAGGGAGGGGGATGATGTTGGATGCGATGAGAAAAAAGACGCGGGAACAAATCCGGCATCGACTGCGGGGAGACTGACCTGATCCACCTGGGCCGTGTTTGCGTGGGATCCTCCAACGCAGGCAGCTCTGCAGTTGACCTAGAGGGGCGTCAGTTCACAGATCCACGACCGCTGCTCGCGGCTCCCATGTGCGGGCCATCACTCGGGACGGTGTTTTCGTCGGGAGAGACTTACATCTGCGGCCTCACAGCCAGTGAGACAGACGGCGGTTGGCGAGAGCTCGATGCTGGTCACGGTGGGGATATCTGGGAGGGTAGCGTCTGCTACCTGCCGGGCCACGACGTTGGCCGAAGCAAGGGCGGCGCTGGTGAGAGCAAGGAGGACGGCGGAAGTCTTCATCTTGTCAGGATAGTTAGTATTAGAAACTCAAGCTTGAGATATTGTCGAGGATACGGGGACAGCGAAAGGGCACAAAAGCGAGTGTTGGGATCCGGAGACAGTTGAACGAGAGTGATGGGTTGGACACGAGGGGTGAGAAGAGGGAGAAGAAGAAGAGAAGGTGGGAGAAGTTCAGGTCTTGTACTTATTGACGAGCAATTTGGCGAGCCACACTTGAAATTAATCCTGATAGGCTCTTAGCGGCCCAAAATAGAAGGGGGAAAGGGGGGGGGGAGAAGGGGGGGACCGGGGCTCCCTTGCATGGCACCCACTCCTGAAGGCTGCGCTGACTGGCTGGCTGCGGCTGGGTTTGTGGGGTAGTTAATTTAGTGGGAGATGGCGGTACAGTAGGACGTGCAGTAGTAGGAGGTAGGCGGTAGGAGGTAGGACGTAGGACGTAGTACTACTACTACTGGGCAGTAGCAACAACAGTCCTGTACCCAAGGACGGCTGTTGTGGCAGGGAAGCCCCTGAGCAATCTCTGCGTTGCACGGAGTAGAGTACGGGACCTGGACGGGACCTGCACGGGACCTGCACGGGACCTTTCTTCACGGGACCTGGTCACGCCCGCTCCCAATTACTACGTATTACTAAGTACAGTACCAGGCTCACCACGCCTCGTACCGCCTGCGCTGGTGGTGCACAAGCCTCCACGGCCACATTCCCATTCCCACTTCCAGCGCGAAAAAGGTTGTTGGTCAGCAGCAGGATGTCCACGGAAATGAAGAGTAATTCCCTCCACGGGCTCAGGATCTGCATCATCAGCTTCACTATCTTCCCACTCGCCCAAGATCTCGGTATGTCCGTACCTAGTACAAACGATGACAATGAAGAGACTTCAGCACAAGACTCTTGGGTATTGGGATTAAGATTGAAGGACATGCCAGCGGTAGGGGGGGAAGGGCGGGCTAGTGCCCCGGCTGGGCCGGTTGTTGCTCCCGTAACCGTGCGAGCACGCGGTTGGCTATTCGGAGAGACCCAGAGTCTCAGTACGAACGGACGAACGGAGTACTTCCGTACTGTAGGTAGGTACGGTAGGTAGGTAGGTACCGGTAGGTGGACATATACAAACTCATCGCGTCGTGCACATTCATCCGCGCGTATCCCCTGACTAAAGCGTAGCGTTCAAAGGTACTTATACCGCAAGTAGCAATTACCGGAGCTGGAACTCTTGTCACAGACAAGCCGACGATGGCTCTCCGGCAGAAGAGATTCATTCCATCGACATACTACGTACCTAGCACAGCTGTCCCATGGCTCTGTGCTGTAGGCCTCCCACCAAAGTCCCCGAGAGCCTGCCCAGACGCAGAGATACTCCGGATATCTGCATCCGCTCGATACCGGTACCTACGTAGCACCAAAGAAAGAGGAATGTGCATGTGAATTCATTCGGCCGGCCAGCTTCGCGTGGATCCGGCATGAAAAAAGATGACCTGGTCCGAAACACGAGAGACAGCTTCTTGGGTCGGCATAGCGACCCTACAGAATAGCTGATGGAAAGCTGTGAGAATTCCCAGATTACCAGCCATAAGCAGAACCTCTCCGCACAGAGCCAGTAGTGTCAATCGTGACGCCACCTCTGGTTCGGGGCGTACCAAAATATGGGATGTGACATCGACGTGTTGTCCCTGATCGACAAGATCAATGTGAACTACCCGTACTCCAACAGCTGGCTGATAGTCAGTGCGCGCTGACTGAAAGCCTGTGCCGACCGACAGCTCAGAAGAAGCAGAAAGGAAGAAAGAAAGAGAGAAAGAAAGAAATAAATAAATAAAAAGGACGCTTGAAATTAGAAGAGCACGGTAATATTGCTTCTGCATATGGGAGAACAATGCTCATACTCCGTACACAATCCCGAATTGGCCGAGTAGAGAGAGAAAGTCTCGACAGCCGAGATACTCCGTATATTTGGCGGCGTAAATAGCTTTCACACTTGGTGTTTCACTCCCCAAGTCCACAGGAAACATGCAAGAAACCTTCATCTGCCATCCCCACGGTGACAACGCTATGAAAAGACCAATGCAGGAGGGCCGGGGGCAAAGCTTGCACAAGGCGGAGACGGTTTACCTCCAGTACTTTGCCAAAGGATGTGATGCTTTGCAAATTGATGCGCCAGAATCGTAAAATAGTCAGCGTAGCGATGACGATGTGTTGCCGACTCCTGAGTACGCGAGGGACAATGGTCCATCGGACATGAGCTCGAGATCTCGGGAGTAACGTACCGATACCGGTAGGTAACAGAGGAAGGACGAAAGGTCCGTGTCCGGAGTACAGACAGTGCTTCTCAACATGCTGTGCTGAAAAAAGTGCGGGGGTCTTGGCACATCACGTCGTTAATCGCTTGACGCGCTCGAACGCGTCGCCCCTCTCGAACGAAGATCTTCGAAACAACCAGATTGGCACTTCAACCTCACATCGCTCGCAAGATGGCCGCCGAAGCTACGAGCGCCGAGATCCAGGAGCGCTTCGCCTCTGCGGGTGGTGCAAATCTCGAAGCAGACGTCCTTGCCGAATTACAATCAATCATGCGACTGCACTCGATCGATGTGGAGGAGTTATGGTACAAGTGGGAATCATACAGCATGAAGATGGCTTCCGACGACATGAAGCTGAACATTGAGACTGCGCGAGCCCTCAAGAAGGATGTACAAGACGGGTTGGAGCGTGACAGCCGGTCAAAACAACATCTCCACTCCAGCAAGCGGGCGGGAGCAACCCCTCGCGCCGTGACGAGCAGTGGCGATGTATTTGGAATGTGAGAGCGTCTCTACGTTCAGCATGGATCAGTACTAACGATGGCAGGCTGGATGGACTTGTGCCAAACACGCCAAAGGCTGGATCTGCGAGTAAAGCGAGCGCTGCGTCCCGGCGCAAGTTCGAAACCCCCTCCATGTCCCGAGTGAGAGCAGAGCCTGCAAGTAGTCCACCAGATTTTAAGACCCCGTACAAGCCCGGAGAGCCCACCGGAAAACCGTATGTGCTCTCATCTCGTCCATGTCCAGCTGCTCATATAGGTGCAGTGTTTCTTTCAACGATCGACCAAACGCCGGGCAAGAAATCGAGATTCTCAATGGCCACCTGCAGGTCCCAGAACCGCCCATGGCGCCATTCGGGGAACCTCGAATCAAGCTCACCGCCCATTCCGACTTGAAGAAGCTCTCGTACAAGCCTATGGCTATGAAGTCCTCTGAGGCATCTGAGATCCTGGACGACAAAATAGACGAGTTCATGCAGTTGATCCAAGAACATCATAAATTGGACGACTCGGACTTTGGCAGTGCCGCAAGTCAGAGTACGAACGAGGTCGTGGCCGTTGGGCGAATAGCATCAGACTCACTTTCGGGAAAACTCAACGCCTCTTCTCTCGTGTTAGAGACCTCCCGAAGAATGGGAGCGGGTTTGCGGATCCCCCTCAATGTCACTTCGCTGTCCGGATTCAAGTTCTTCCCGGGTCAGATAGTAGCGATGAAGGGGATCAATGCCTCGGGAGACAACTTTGCCGTCAGAGAGGTCTTGGAAGCTCCATTACTGCCCGGTGCTGCCTCGCCCCCCGCTCTACTAGAAAGCCATATCCAGAGACTGAGAGGAGGGCCTGATGCTATGGACTCCGACTCCGAACCGGCGCCTCTTAGCATAATGATAGGTTCGGGACCTTATACCGCAGATGACAACCTGGATTTCGAGCCCCTGCATGCTCTTTGCAGCCAAGCAGCAGATACATACGCAGACGCGCTTATTTTGACTGGACCATTTCTAGATATAGACCACCCTCTCATCGCTACAGGGGATTTCGACCTCCCCGAAGAAGCAATGACCGAGCCAGACACTGCCACGATGACCACACTATTCAAATACCTCATCTCGCCAGCTCTCATCCGCTTAGCCGCTGCCAACCCACACGTCACCATCCTCCTCATCCCCTCCGTCAAAGACGTAATCAGCAAGCACGTCTCCTGGCCCCAAGAAGCCTTCCCGAGAAAAGACCTCGGCCTCCCCAAAGCCGTCCGCATCGTCGGGAATCCCATCATCATATCCCTCAACGAGGTGGCCGTCGGCATCTCCTCCCAGGACGTCCTCACGGAGCTGCGATCGTCGGAGACAGCCGAGGGCCGCGCGCGAGAGACCCCCATCTTGTCCCGGCTGTCGAGCTACCTGCTCGAGCAGCGCAGCTTCTTCCCCATCTTCCCGCCGCTGGACAGGGCCAGCTTGCCGAAGAGCGGGACCGCGAGCGGCATCCCCACGGGCGCCATGCTGGACACGAGTTACCTGAAGCTGGGAGAGATGGTCAGGGTGCGTCCGGATGTCCTGATTCTGCCTAGCGCACTGCAGCCGTTCTCAAAGGTTAGTGACGTTCCTCATCTTTGAAGAGAAGAAAGAAAAAAGAAGAAGAAGAAGAAGAAGAAGAAGAAGAAGAAAGGCCGTAAGAGCGAGCGAGCTGTACTGATGTGCAGAGACAGGTTGTCGAAGGTGTCGTCGTCATCAACCCGGGTCATGTTTCCAAACGAAGAGCCCCGGGGACTTTCGCCAGGCTGACCGTCCATCCGGCCACCATGACAGAGGAGGAGCGAGGCGCCTCGGTTCTCGCACACAAAGTCTACGAGAGGGCGTGCGTGCAGATTTTCAGGATCTGAAAGAGTTTTGGATACTTACTTATGGTCGGAACGGGGCTTACGGCGTTCGGGATTCGGGAGTAATGATCATGAACTTGGGATGCAAGACATGCATCATGTTTGGGTTTGAGTTTGAATTAGATATATCAGCGCTACCTCGCATCTACTCTCCGGCGCTTGTCGCTTTCATATCGGTCCCCATCTCTCGACGTGCTGCGCTTCCTCCTATGCTTGTCCTCTCTGTCCCTTCTCGGTGACCTCGATCGTGACCGTGACCGCGACCGCGACCTCTCTCGAGTAGGTCGATACGTATCGGTATTTCTCCCCCTCTGCCCCTCCCCTCCCTCCCGCATGGATCTCGGACCCTCAGGCGCGCCACTGACTCCCTTCCTCTCGGCAACCGAAATGGTGTTTGCTCCGCTGGCACCAGGTCGATCGCGGGGTTCTCGGTCAGGCGCAAATCTCTCGTCGCCATTGAAACCCATGCCCCCCTTCCTCGGCCTGTCGTTGAATTGGCCCCATTGACCCGTATCCTCGCTCTTGAGATCCTTATACTTCGTAGCACCCTTTTTCCCTAGCTTGGTCATGTCCCTCATCTGCAGCGCCTGAGGCAGCAACTCGCGATTCGTGTCATCCACGAATTTCGCACCCATAATGTCCCGCGCAGCCAGTCCCTGGGCCGCGGCGTCGTCCTGGTAGAAGGCTCCTTTGTGGTGGTACTTCTGCATGAAGCCGATCTTGTTCCTGCTGTCCTTCTCCTCCTTCTGCTTGGCGATGTGTTCATCGTCTTCGCGCTTCCTGTCCTCCGCGCTGAGATTCTTCCTCCGCTCCACCTCCTCGAGCTCTCTCTCGCGCTCCTCAATGGCTTCCCTCTCCCGCTTAATCCGCATCAACTCCCGCAGTTCCCACGCCGCGCGCTCCGCAGCCGGGTCCAGGCCGTCCGTATCGTCCACCTCCGCATCCTCCTCGTCGTCGTCCCAATTCTTCTTGCCCGCCGCCTTGGCAGCAATGTCCCGCCGGATCTGCTCCTCCACAATCTCATCGGCAGCCTTCTTCCTCCTCTCCTCCTCCTGCGCCGCGAACTCCTCGTCGGTGCGCGTATCCACAGGTTTCGCGCCCGCCATCGCAGCACGTTTATCCTTCTTGATAAAAGTCGGCCGCATCATGACCCTACGTGGCGCCTCCTCCTCCTCGCTGCTAGTCTCCTCGTCACTGCCGCTCCCGCTCCCCCCCTCACTCCCATCCTCACCATCCTCAGATTCCTCTTCCGTGACAAAGCCTTCTTCCTCTGCTGCTTTCAGCGCCTTCTCCTCTGCGATTCGGTCGGCCTCTTTCTGCGCGGCGATTTTCCTCCCCTCGTTAAGATCGACTTTGCTGAGGTTACTCGTGATTCCGCCGGCGGTGGTAGCTTTCGGCGGCGCGGGGATCTTGGAAGGTGCTGGGGTGTCGTCGTCGTCGTCGCTTGCCTCGGAGTCTGAGGAGTCGGCTTCCTGAACGACTTTTCCAGGGCGGTGGCGCGGGCCTTGAACTGGGTTTGCGGTCATGCGTTTGGGTGGCATCTTGAAGATCCTGAGGGATTGAGGCGGGAGATTTCGAGTTAGGATGGAGATGAGGGAGGAGGATTGTCTGTTTGGGGAGGTTGAATTGAAGTCCTGCAAGGCTGAGATAGCTTGCTGGCAAATTACTCTTCCGGCTAGGCTTCCCCGCTATGTTTGCAAGGGTGCGACTCACTTACTTTTCGAGCCGATCATGTGATATTTGAGAGAGGACAAGGAAATAAGTACCGGTAATGTGAACATTATTCGTCAAAGGAAAAGACTCGGAGGTTTATCGTCTCGAAACCGTGGTATGTATAATTTTCACCCCATAAAGGTCCCAAAGATCCAAGTTACCATGCCATCTTGGTCTATTGAAATTGTATTACCGTTGAAGGAACCGGTTTAAAATCTCGTACTGGTTTGTGTTGCATCTCTTGCAACTTTTGTATTTCATGAGCCTGTACTTCGTTTACGTCCCGGACTGATGCCAGAATCTACGGTATCTGGTCAAACGTGAAATCGACATGGACGATACCGTCCCAGAACGCCGCCCAATGCAATTCATAACTTTCGTAGCTCATAGGATCTCCTCGTCTTCTTCGGCAGGCACAGGTATCGTCTTCGCATCCTCAGCGACATTAGTTTCTGCAGTCAGATCCTCATCAGCCTCCATCTCATCGTCCTCCCAGGCTTCGCTCTCCTTGTCCTCCTCAAGCTTGTCTGCCTCCTCTCGAGCCTTCTTCGCCAGCATACGCTTATTTAACTCCTCCCAGTTCTTTGCTCTCTCCTGAACAGTCCGGGCCCGATCCTTGCTCTTCTCAATCTTGATCTCTTTCTTGTCAATGACCGCCTCGGCACGATCCATCCCCTTCTCCTGCCGCTTCTTCGCCTTTGCACTCAGGACGGCCTTTCTGCCATTCTTGGTCTTCTTGGAGATTCCAGCGCCTTGGTGGATCGCGAGGACCGACGGCTGCTTGATCTTGGTTGCGGTGGGAGGCTTGAGGTCTTTGAGAGATTTGTCGAGATCGATTCCGGGAGAGGCTGCTCGTCGTGATTCACGCGAACGCACCGAAGTGACTGGAACATTGTTAGAACATTTTGTACATGAAACCAGAAACGACGAAAGACATGCCTCCTCGCTTTTTGGGTGGTGCAGTCTTTCCCATTGTGCGTTTTGTGAATGTCCCGGACTCGTGCGCGGAACCTTTTTTTTCTGTCCCTCGGTCGGTCTGTGCAAGCCACACCACCGCATGCCTATGCCACCTAGCTCTTTGTAAGTCCACAAAGAACACAACCGCCTGAGACTCGACAATTCACCAGCATCTATATTCAGCGCAGTGACAACTCCTTAAGAAGCACATATGTACTACCATGAGTACTCAAGATCCGCAACATCAAGATCTGTCTGGCAATGATCTAGACTACTTGGCGGGATACCACCAAGACTACCAACAAGGAATCAATCGGCCTGCCACCAGCGCATCTTACGTTCTAGCCGTGATAGTCTGCTTCGGGGTCTTCGTCTACCACATCCTCTTCGTCCTCGACTACAACCTTTTGTCTCTCCCAGAGCTCCTGTGGAATTCTCTTGTCTACGTGACGCCATCGCGGCTGCTCGACGCTGTGGAAACCTACCAAAACCCTCTCCGCATCACGAATCCAGCGCTGGAAGACATCCCGCGGACCCATGCCGCAAAGAGCGAAGCTATGCGGCGTGTACTGGGTCTCGATCAACCAGGAGGGATCATAGAATCAGTTGCGCAAGCTGGAAGGAGGAGATTGTCCACACTGCCAAGCATGAGCTTGAGTGCACAGGGTGATGGACGGCCAGCGGGATTGGGAAACTGGGATAATTCTTGCTATCAGAACAGCGTCCTCCAAGGGCTGGCGTCGCTGGACTCATTGACAGGATATCTCACAACCCCAACCTGTGAATGGCTTGGGGAGGGCGTAGAGAAGCCAGATATGAAGATGGCCGAGGCTCTACGAGAACTCATTGCGACACTGAACGATCCGCTGAACAACGGGAAGAGGATATGGACGCCGGCTACGTTGAAGAACATGAGTAGCTGGCAGCAACAGGATGCGCAGGAATATTTCTCGAAAGTCCTCGATGAGATAGACAAGGAGGTGGGTAAAATGGCCCAGCTAGTGCAGTCTTCTCAAGGATTCGAATCGGAAATATCGTCAGGTCAAAGCTCGCCGAATTCCAAATCTCGGTCAAGATTCCGGAATCCTCTGGAAGGGCTGATTGCGCAGCGCGTGGGTTGTACCAAGTGTGGCTACTCCGAGGGGCTGTCTATGATCCCTTTCAACTGCCTGACGGTCCCTCTTACTCGACAGTGGGAGTGCTATGTCTCGGAGTGCCTCGACGAATACACGAAACTGGAGCAAATAGAAGGCGTTGAGTGTGGCAAATGCACGCTGCTGAAATACCAGAGATTGCTCACACTACTTGTAGAGAAGCAAACATCGTCAGAAGCAAACAGTGCGTCTCTGGAGGATTCTAAGAGAAGACTAGCAATGGTTGAAGAGGCTTTGGAAGACGACGACTACGAAGAAAAAACGGTTATGAAGAAGTGCAGCATTCCACCCAAGAACCGAGTATCCTCCACCAAATCACGGCAGGCTGTTGTTGCGCGGCCGCCAAAGTCATTGGTGGTACATTTCAACCGAAGTTTGTTCGATGAGATGACCGGCGAGCTGAAGAAGAACCTTTCACATGTCAAGTTTCCCCGGATACTGGATTTGGGACCGTGGTGTCTTGGGAGCTTGGGAATGGCCGAGGATGTGCTGACTGAGGAATGGCTGCTGAATCCAGACATACCTATGATTGCCAGTACCAGAAAGCCGTCTAGGCTTTCGGGTCCACTCTATGAGCTGCGAGCTGTCGTGACACACTATGGGAGACATGAAAACGGACACTACGTGTGCTACAAGAAGTTTCCTGTTCCTAATTCTAAAGATCTCGACGATAATCATGATCCGTCTAAGGAGCAGTGGTGGAGGTTGAGTGATGACGATGTCACGAAAGTGAGCGAAGACAATGTCCTTGGCCAAGGAGGGGTTTTCATGCTCTTTTATGACTGCATCGAACCTGGCACGACGAAAATGCCAGTGTCTGATTCTACTCGGGCGGTTGAAGCTGTGCCTGAAGACGAGAACGTCCAAGTACCTACGGTGACAAAGCAAAGAGAAGGAGGTGTTGTCTTGTCAGATCTTGCTGTAGCTGCTGGCACTCCTCTCCCTGACAACGACGACGATAACCTTTTTAAAAGCTCCAGCCAAGAATCCCTTGTCGCGACTCAAGAGAGCATCAACGCGACTCCAGAAAGCACCAAGAGCGTCTCTGAATACGACGAAGACGAGAGTACCGACCAAGAGCAAGCAGATGCTTACCAGCCTACGAAAGCGATCGTGGTCAGGCCATATATCAAGAAGGCGGCCAACAGTACCGAGTCAAGTAAGGAGGCCAGCATGATTTCATCCGGTGCCTCTCTTGTCATGGTATGAGGCGAAGGATATCGTGATGTGTGGGGTGGTTTAATTTGACTTGAATGGACAGCATACGGAGATGCGCATAGCGAGGCGTTTGGTAATGGAGTCATGGGATAGGTGTGCTGCCGTATGGCGCGCTTGTATGTTTGGTCAATGGAACTTGGGGGCTTTGGTAGAAATATCATAGCGCGAGCGCCATTGGTACTTACTTGTTTGAACGGCCCGGTCATGCATGGTCCTATCTATCGCTTATTTAATTCTGCCTCTCAAGCGTAAATGCCCATCGATTTTCCAGACTGACTGCATCTTTATATTCACTGCCCGCGCTCTGTTATGGTCGGTTTTTTTTTTTTTTTTTTCTCTTCTTTTCTTTTCTTTTCTTCCTGAACTTGGTGTTTGCGTCTACTTTCCTATAATTCAAATTCATATCACAGGCTATCTATGAAGTCCGTCCATCACTACACTATACCATACTATAATATACTATATCTCTCTCCGACAGGCTCTAAGCGGCAAGCGAGATATTTATCATTGTGCTATTCCGCGGTAGAGTTGGAGTCGCTGCCGAGTGGGGAATGGGAGAGGCAAGGGTCAGAGTCAGAGTCGGAGTCGAGTGACCAGTTTCACCCAGTTATCTCTCCATCCGTTGAAGAGCTCTCTCTCTCTCTCTCTCTCTCTCTTTCTCTCTCTTAGGGCACACTCGTAGTCGGCGAGAGAAAATATGCGATGACATAGTGATCAGCAGTCAGTCAGTCAGTCAGTCAGTCAGTCAGTCAGTCAGTCAGTCAGTCAGTCAGTCAGTTGTTCGGTCAGATACTTTTGCAAAGATGAGAGGATCGATTGGACGGGTGCCGGTCAGACATCCCTACGGCACGAACGCGGTCTAGGTGGTAGATATCTGAAAAACAGTCTGTCTGTCCCGGTAGTAAGAACCCTTGACGACAAGGGTAAAGACTTTATCAAACAGTCTTTTGATATATATGCAAATATCACACCCAGATTGTCAAAGGGGCCAAGAAGTCGTGGGCGGAGTATGAGGAAATAGCTTTTTAAATGCATTATCAGCGAACACAATCATAATCTTTTTTTTTCTCTTTTCACGACTAGCAAGCGTGATCTCATGGGCTCGTTTTCATCCTATTCCTCAGGCCGATACTAATTGATCTAGTCTGCGGAAGTCCGCAAATACGGCTCAATAACCGCAGTAACAAATTTCCTCGACACCCCCAAAACCAGAGCATCCGCTACCCCAGCAGAAATGCGACGGACATACTCCTCTCTCGGGCTTCCGTCCTCTATAAAGACAGTGCTCAGATAAACCAAAGCAGTCGTCACCTCCCCTCTCCCTCTCCTCTGGCCCTCTCGTTCTCGTCCACCACTTACGGATACAACCCTTCCAAGACTCCCATCAGCCACAATCCGCACCACATCCCTCCCGACCAGCCCCACCGGCGCGCAGCATAACTCGACTTGCAGCTCGGCTTTCTCGTACGCTCCGATGCTGACGCCCTCGTTCCGGTCTAGCTCCGCTTCGTCGCTGGCGCTGAGCAGGTAGCAGAGACCTTCGACGGCGGGCGCATGGCGCGCCGAGTCGGCGGTGTGGGTGACATTGATGACGTTTGCGTAGCCGCGCGAGTTGATCTGCCAGCGGTGGTGGGGGAGGATGGCGACGCCTAGGAAGCGGCTCTCGGGACAGCGGGTTGCCATTTGCTGCAGCGAGAGGTTGCTGCCGTAGGCGAAGTACAGGGTGCGATCGGTGGGTTGCGAGGTGCTCATTGTTGTCTGTGTTCGTCGTCGGTAGGGGACTTTCGGATGAATGTGGAGCAGATGATGGTTGCGGATGTGGATGCTTGGTTGGTTGGTTGGTTTTTTTAGATGGGTTCTTGGGGATGCGAGGTGTAGAGAAAGAGGCTTGTCTGACCAGTCAGTGGCTTTCGGGTCTTGTGGAATGAGGAATATGAGATAATTTGGCCTGATATGGCCTTTTTATAATAAAGGGTTTCATGGCCGCGATGGAAGGGGCTAGTACTTTGCGCTCTGGAGACGATCAAGCGAGTGGTTTGTTGTTGACTTTGAAATGTACCAGAGCTTAGATCTGCAAGCGGTACTGTCCTCGGTTGGAGCGTCCCATCACGTATATAAGGCATCAATAATCATTTTTTTCCTATGGAGCCAGAAGGGCGATTTACTTCGCATAGCAAAAATGTATAAAATCAAAGTCTCCAGTTGCAATCACAGAGGTCTAGAGAAGCAAAGCTCAATAAATCGGTGCCATCTGCCATTTTTCTGCCTTTATTGCTAGCGTCTCCTCCAAAAGCCCCTGGCCAATCCTATCTAGGGACCGATGAAACACTGCTGTCTTTCGTCTGGCTTCTAGCGCTCAACTGTTTCAAGAAGCAAACTCAAAGGAGATGGCCTCTATAGCGCTATGAACTTCACCTCGATAGCAGTATATATGCCCTTGGCCTTTTGCTGCACCAAATTGTCTCCAATCATGATTCTTCCATTGCCAAAATAGCCCCCATGCTGGTCCACCCAAACCATGGGTCCCTTATTGTTCTTCGCGAGAGATAATCTACTAATTACCAATACTAGCTCCTCCAGATTCGGGAAGACTTCATTCAGTAACTCCCAGAACTCACATTTTTCGGGCAGACGTATGATATTGTTCCCTTGTTCCCTGAGCCAAGGAGGAAAGGCAATATGGGCCGGCAGCTCGAAAGCTAATCGCTTGACTGGCTCCATCCAGTTTTGGAAATCGCTCGCTGCGGCGACAAAGTCCTGAGCCCTGGGATATGTCCGGTAAGGATGGGTTCCGTATCGCTTTGCCTGGACACAAGGTATCATCAATACATCGGTGTCGTAGTTGATGAAGAGACCAACTCGGGGGCGCCCAGCATACGCTCGCTTCTTTAGGAATTGGTAGTGCTTGTGGTACTCCTGCCGGGCCTCTCTGGAAACTTGGGAGATGGCTTGGCGGCCCCCACCACCCTCTTTGAGAGAGACGATGTGCGGCTTCCAGGTCAATTTGTAGATCTCGAACCTCAACTCGATTGGTAGCTTGGGGAAGAACTTGAACTCGGTGCCTGCAGAAGCATTGATGGGGCTTGCGGGAGGCGGGATCAAGACCATAAGGTTTGATGATCTCATCGCGCTCGCTGAATTGCCTGCAGTTGAAGAAGATTTGTTGTTGCTGGTTGCCTGTGTTTCTACTTTCGTGATAGCCTGACGCTTACTGGGCGCACCTTTGGTCCTGGAATATCTATTAGTCGCTAACCTGGGATCTAGATAGAAAAAGGTCTTACTTGCTCTTCGCCATAACGGCGTTTGCCAGTTGGGGCGAGGTGAAGGGCCGTTTAGTTCTTGGAGTTTGAGATATTGTGCTCGCAACCAAGTCAGTAATATTTTTCTTCGTGATATTGGCAACTCGTCAACATACCCGTGACTTCTGCCGCGGAGTAGTCAAGTTCGTCAGGAAAAGTGTTACCAGTCTCGAGATTTATTAAGGATCGAAATTGCAAGCGTTTCGGGTTTGCCTGCATCGAGCATATGGCTTTTCAGTTGCTTTGTACTTCGAAAGATCTCGAAAAAAGATGAAACTGCTATATTGTTTGTTATCTGTTGTTGAGAGATGAGAGGTGATGATCCGGCTCTTTCCTATAGGCTCTCCTTAGCGGTTGGGTCACGTGCAGGGCTAAATCTCCAGAATCACCCGACAACTTGCCCCCTATTCACCGTCTGACTCAAAGTGAAGCTGTTTCTTTGATCAAATAGTCACGCTCTGGTATTCGAATGAGTCTATACTTAAAGTCTTCCAGCGTCCAACTTCGGAAATTTAGTAAGTGGTACCGGCTTCGTCAGATGCAAGCATATATTCGGCGACAGTATTGTATTTACTTTCTGATGATCATTAATTAAAGGTTTATATCTTCGCTGTTTCGTTGTATTTTCTGTATTTTTCTGTATAGGCATGAATAGTTTGCAGCTTTTCGTTTTTCCGGCGGAACATGTTACTAGGATCAAGCAAGATACGATAGGAAGTAACGGCGAGGGAAGGAATATAAAGCTGCCCGTCATTTTTATACTTTTAATTAAGATAAATCTTAAATTTTTTTTAAAAAAAAAAATTGGTTCGTCGGTTATAAATCAAGCAATGACTTATATTATCGCCGTTCTCGACTTCATTCTTCGTAATAATCTAAATAAATCAATATCTAACGATCAACGAAAGCAAATATATATCAAATTATATATTGATCGTGATCAGATAATTTTGATTTCTAATTCCTTGCAAGCGGCAAGTATTACGTCCTTAATCGAATAATCATCTGCAATAATTATGATCCTTTTTCTGATCGTATTAAGATTGCTTACTTTCTTCGCGCTATTAAATAACCTTTTCATTTCTTCTGCTTTATCTTTTACTTCTTTCTTCCTGGAAGTTATAATCTTTACGATAGACTGCGCCGATTGATTATCTAAATAAACGCTCGAGACGAATAGAAGTTGTTTTGTTCGACGGCTATCGCGGTATTTAAGCGATGATTATAATCGAAAGGCTCGATTTGCACTTTGCTAAGTATAAAAATCAATAATAAAATGAATTTCAAATTCAATACTTAAATTCATTCTCGTTATTCCATCTTCGCGTTCACCTTCAAACCGATCCCTTCTGATCTAGCTAGCAGCTGAATAATTTAATGCGGAACGCTGAAACAGTTTTCCTTTTTTTTTATCCGCGTATAAAGATACTTTATTTCTCGATCGATTCCAGCTCCAGATTTGATAACCGGTATGCCTTCATTATTTCGTATGTCGTCGCGATCTGTGCGCCGCGAATCTGGCCTAGTCTTTCGTCTTAGCGTAGCTATCTCTATTGTAATCTCATTTTTATTACGAGATACTAAATCCTCAAAATAAAATTTATTTATTTTCTTAGCGTACTTGTATTTTTTTTTCAATTCGATGCTTTTATATTCAGTACTATGAATTCTTTATATTAACATACCTGATAACGGTTTAGAGGTGGACAAGATCCGAACGTCGATAGGATCTCAACGCTAAGAATATTCAAAGCTGAGTGAATGAATTTCCTTCTTTAAAATCAGCTTGCAGAACAATCAAGTACCAGGTAATTTGATAATGTTTACGGGCGAGAAAATTGAAAGAGCCTAGAAAGATAGGTGAAAGGTGTATAGTCTGAATATATAGGAGGCTGATCAGCTAATCAGCGCTATTCCAGATTCTAGCAAAAAGCGCCGAGCAGTTGGCAACAGCACTTCACAGATTTATAAGGAGCAGCTCATCTTTGCTTCCCTGTGCTATTAAACGGAATCAAAATCTGTGATGTGGTATCGTAAACACTAAACTCGTGATAATAAGCTCGTTGGAGCAGCCTGTCGAGGTTGCCAAGTGGCCATGCCATTCTCGCTCGATCAATTTGAGAAATGGAATCGAGTATCTCCCCGATAGCTTACCTTGCTTATATGGCGGATATTCAGGTATGAGTTACCAATCATTTATGAAAAGTACGATGAGCTTCGTCATGGAGGTGAATGCATGAGACAGCATCAACATATCGATGTGGATCCGATTCTTCGAATGGAAGCGTGGCATAGGAAATGATTGCATCTTGCCACTTATATTGGTGGCTGAGATCAACGTTGTATTTTAATAAAGCTCTGACTTATTTACAATTCTGGGAGTGGCTCGCTCAAAACCGAGTGCCACCAGTGTTTAAGCTTGCTGCTACCACCTAGACTCTGTATTGTTTCGCTCTTCGCAAGTAGAACCTCGAAAGCCGTCTTTCTCGTCATCACGTTTGTATTGGTCCCAGTTGAGCGGTACATTCATAGAACAGCCTCGGTACGGAAAATATCGTTGTTTTGGGAGGCGATGATTCCATTACTGACAGGTAGCCACTCTTCGCTGTCGGTAACGCGAGAATGGTTTCGGGTTTGGCCGACTTATTAGTTGAGATCCAAGGAGAAAGAAACAGAGGTCGGGCTTCGTACTGGGTAGAATCGTTTCGGGGGCTTGAGCATAGGGTAAAATGTCGTAAAAGAAGAACCCCGCACCGACCCAGGCTGGACGTCTACGCTTGTGAGATCGATAATCACAGAAATGCGAAGGAGTACTCACTCGTGGTACAGATTCCGATAGGTAGGCGATGCAAAAGTCCACGGCAGAAGAAGCAAATTCTCTGAGCAGCCGTATTCGTTAACAGGGAGGATTTCGGCCTCGATCCATTTCTTGAAAACGGCTGACTGTTTTAAACCTTCAACCTGCATACTTTCAGTCGCCGTTGGAGCCCACTCGCTGTTGGAATTTAATACGTATTTTGCGACTGGAAAGGGCAAGAAGTCTCGTCGACTCACAACCGAAATTGGCCTTGTGGATTAAAGATGGGCTTCACTCCATAGGCTTCTTTGTACTCCCTAGCAAATTTCTCGTAGGACTTGAATTGGGCTAGCTCATACACGTACGGTAAATTATTATGTAGGTACTCTGACAGAGCTTGGGTGGTCTGGATAGGGTTAGACTTCAACCACAAGACGGATAGGTCGAGCTCCTCCTTCTGTATACCCAAAGACTCGAGCTTTGCGATAAAGTTATTGTAGAAATCTTGACTTTCCGAATGCTCTACAGGTAAGTAATCTGTGGGATACAGTATACGACGGGGCTTCTACCTTCACGTCAGCCTGTTGGAGAGAGTAGCAGCGTCGGCATCCATTCCTACCGATAGACACTTCTTGGCTTCTGAATCTGCATGTATAACTCTGGCCGCAGTGACATAAGATTCAAGGTCTCGTGGAAACACTCCAAAAGTATCAAACATCCTTAAGATGTCAGATCACTGCCACCCATTGAAGTACGCTCAACGACTTACGGAGACCACGGTAACACTCCTTCGACATCTGTAACGCGTAGCGAAGGCCACATATTAAAGAGAATCTGTACAGCGGCAGGAGATAGAATGCTACCACAAGCTGAAATCAATGTTAGCCGATTGTACACCTGATTTAGAGGGTTGGTTTACAGTCAGTGCCTGTCGCAAAGTCAAGCCAAGGATATACAGCCAGTCCAGCGCCACTGCCCGCGCTGCTGCCACTGGGACTTTGATAGCCATCTCCCCGAGGATTGATAGGGGCATAGTAATCGACCCAGTCGCCTGTAGCCCATTCCGTATCAGCAAACTGTGTCGTCCGTGTCTTGTCTACTAAAATAGTGCCAAGACCAATAAAATTTTGCACCGAAGTCGCAGTTATACTCCTGGGGCCATATAGCCTAGTGAACACTCGTGATGAGCCACCTGTACGAACACCTGCAACGTCTTGATTGTCTTTTATCGCGAATCTCTCTCCCGAAAATAGCAGCTTGTCTGTCTTTGTATAGTACAGGCGAGAGGGAACCGCAATCGTTAAGAATGGCGGCCATGTATCCGAAGAAGCGGTAATTTCTAGTGTTTGATAGATATTTTTGGCTTGTAGGTCAGTCTCACAGGAGTGTATGCGGGAAGGGAAGAATCCGGAGGAACTCTTACACGTCAGAATTGTGTGATGTCTGGGTAGTAGACATGATAAATGCGTCGACGGTGTCGGGATAAAGCCGATAGACTGTGTGCAATGAATTGTTCAAAAGCAGGTATGGACCATAATGCTAGCTGATGTGGACGTATAGATGTTCTCTACCCCGTACATCTTCTTCGCTTTAGCGAGATTTAGAATTGGGTCTTCTGAATGTGGCAAGTTCGAGCCCGCAAAGATGATATATTCTAAGAACGCCGTCGACCATACATCTTCCATCTCAGAATATCAATTGACAGTAGCGTATAAAAGCTGGAATGTCACTTCAGCATGGTGCTCTATTGTGATAACGGTACAGAGCGCTGGATCTGTCTCAGTGTTGTTTCCGTGTTCGTTAAGCTGGACCAACTGATGCTTGTAAATTAGCGTTATCTCTAGGCTGACTCTCTTCGAGGTATTTCTTGGTCAGTGAAAGGAAAGTCAATTACCGTCAGCATCTGAGTAGCATGGTAGGTGATGTTCCCAACCCGAATTAGCTGCAGGGAGGCTAACTTTGACATGCTTGCAATGCTTTTACGATATCGCAAAACAGATGCAGACATAGACACACCCACCAATTCAACGACTTCACTTGATGAATATGCGCATGAAGCCAGATACACGAGTTACGCCCTTTGGGACGTGCTTATTTCCAGGATAAGAGTGCTGACGAGCTCCCTCTCGCAAAGAAAACATCCTCAGCATTCGGCGACGAATGGCCTCCGAACTACTCCTTCCGCGCTCAGATATGGCAAATTACCTTGAATCCGCTCATCTCATACAGGGCCAGATGTTTTATTTCCGAAAGAAGTAGTATCGAATCTTGCACATCGGTACGGAGATAGTCACAGTGAGCCCGTGGACAGCTAGAATGCTTTAGGCATGCCAACCGGGAACTTTCTCAAAACGGTTGTTAAGGGCGAAAAACCGACGTATGATATAGTGCTGGAAAGGATACGCGGCGACTTTCAGAGATTACTCATGGCCGATCGATACACGTCTGGGTGAGTCCTTATACTCCTGCCAATCAAACACTAACCTTCTCAAACCCCGTCACCAATTTTCTTATCCAAGAAATGACCGGGTTTCCGGTAGAGAGGACCTCCATCGCCCGATTGACGCGAAGTTGACGATCTTACCATACCCCTCTTCCGACGGAGCCGTTGCGCTCGTTGGCACTGTATGGCACGCCTGCAATTGGGAAGACACAGTGTGCCTTACAGTCTGTCTATCAGCATCTGGAACGCTTCAAAGTTATACTTTGGCTGTCTGCGGACACCGAGGACAAGATTCTACAAGGATTCAATAATGCTGCGAAAGACTGCTGGGCCTCGAAACGTCATCGTACGGCCACTCGAGACCTACGACGCTTTTCATTTGTCTCGTAAAGATTCTCTCTACATCGACTAGTGCGATATGCTGCAGATGATTACACCTCAGAGGTTTCGTGCGGGGGGTGTTAATCATTCGTCGGAGAGCTTTGATTTGGCTTTTACTGTACGCCACAGCTAATTCTGACGCATTTCCAAATTTTGAGACCTTCAATTCGTTATCTTGAGAAACCTTACCTCCTGAACAAGAACCCTTGTAGTAGAAATCGCAGGTCGGTACGGTAGATCAGTGATCGTTAACTCCTGAAGCCGCTTACTTTACTAAACTTTTGGCTGTGGTGCTGACTCTACGTTTAGGATAATTCAGTAAGTTAATGCGGTTACAAAATCCCCCTGATATGGCGGATGATACTAGCATACAGCAAAATCGATCCCTGATCCGAAGAGATGCAGCTGTAATATAAAACAGCATGATTTCAACTGGATCCGGGAAAGATTTAATTCTCTTTAACACTTGACCGAATATAGCTAGTCTTGCTTAAGCGAGAAGCAGCTTAGACATCGCATCTGAAAGAGGAGATGGCATCATTGAGGTAAGCAAAGGTCAGCAAGATCGGGTTCATCTCCGAGGTTGTGAAGACTGCCGGTTAAACTTTTATGGGCTTAAGAAAGTTGAGGGAAAGGGAAAGGGAAAGGGAAATAATAGTAATATCACCGCTGCCGGAGATATAAGGGAGTTCATCCGCATCTGCTAAAGGCGAAATCGTGGCAGACTTCAATAGTCTTTTCTTATCGACCAACTTCTTATCGAGAAACGAGATCGGAAGGTGCTGCTGTTACGATAGAAGCAGTAAGAACAGCTACGGCGAGTAAGATAGCGATGATGAACATCATAGGAATAGAGTAAGAGCCAGAAGGAGTTGTCTTGAGAGAAGTAAAAATTAGATGTTAGTATTAAAGATTGAATACCAATAGATAAATGGAGAGATTGGTCTCTCTCGTACTAATCGTACGCCTGGTTGGAGTACAAGTCAGAGGCAGGGCTGCGGTTCCTAGTGCTCTTCAGTAATACGGTCAATTTTCAGTAGTACGGTCAATCTTTGCACCTTCTTTCTTACAATACATGTATCTATTACAATTTCTAATAGAAAAATTAATTGTGAATTATGATATTATTTTTCAATAATGGACCTACTCTATGAAAAGCTTTAGGAGATTGTAGAGTTTTGGAACGCAGTTATATTCGTATGTCAACCTCGTCGGCGCTATTCGAATAAATTTCAATCAAGTAAATAGCTGAATAATTAAGCAACTACAAATAATTACATGTAACCTTCTAAAAAACCGTAGTCGCCAGCTTCGAATCTATACCGCTCTTTGTTCTTAGTGGCGTAAAGTAATCATAGATCTATCGATTATTATAACTTCGTTCGTTGGCAAGGGGAAGTGTAAGGGAGCGGGCGTAGTTTGATAGTAAAACGTTCAGCTATCTATTCACATAGAGCAAAAGTAAAAGGCGGTCATATAATTTTCCCTTTGATATTTCCGTTTCGTAATTCATAATTCACATCAATGAATGTGATAGTGGCATAAGGAATATTCGATCTATAAGTAGCGGAGATGCAACCATATGATACTTAAACAGCATTACTAAGTCGTAGCCGTTAATCCAATCTAGATCAGTCTAGAGATAGTAAAAGTAGCATTCTTTGTCATAGGGATCTAAGGAAATAATTCCATTGTCGAAACTGTCCAAAGAGGATACTTTGACTTCGTAAGCTTTAGCTTCAGATGGTTAAAGGAAGAATCCTGATGCAGGTGCCAGGGGTGTAAAGTAAGTCACGGCAGACGCGCAGGCTAGGTTCCGCGCACACCATGACGTACGTAGTACTACGTATCTTCCCTGTTTAGGGGTAAGTTTGGCAGATGCTGCTGTTACGGCAGGGGCGGCAACAAGAGCTGCGATAGCGTTGATCAGCATCATTTTGATAGATTGGTAGAGAAAGGGTTGTGTTCTTATTGTAAAGAGGATTTTCTTGAGGCAGGAATGGGTTTCGATGCGAGGCAAGAGAAGAATAGACTTCCAAACGATAGAAGGACCTTGCCATGGGCCTGGCTAGGCCTTACGGATATCATGGACTTTGATCTGTTTCTCCGCTACGTCGTATAGGATATCCGGATCCCGGATAGATTTGTCTTTCCTGTATCCGTTGGAATAGTTTCGGAGCCAGCTTAATTCATGGAAAGTAAAAGTCTCTTAATACAACCTCCAGGCATGATAGCTGTAGCTGTAGTCGTCGTGTGAGGCTTGATTAATCAGGGGGTTTAAAGTGGAGATTTCAACTCTTGAATCACCCTCAGGCGGTAATTACCCTAGCTGTAGTAGGAAAGGCAGGAGTAATACTACCAGTATAACTACGACTGCAACTACAACTACAGCTACAACTACAATTAATGCTACCGTCAATAATCACAATTTTCGAGGCATCGGAATAATCGACCACAGGTTCACAAGTTGATAATCACGAACCTGGTTACGGGGCGGAGTCGACGAAGCCAAGCTGAACCACTGCTTTCAATAGCAAGGAAGGCGGCAGAAACGTCCGTAGTATCTGCACAAGAATACGGAGCGTGAAGTTATATCCCCCTTCCTGTGAATGCCCAACGTCTTTCCTTGCAAAGCAGCAATCACCTCATCAAACCTTTGTTAATCGGCGCATTCCCAAAAATCAAAAGACTTTCAAGGGATCGAAACCTACAAACCTACAACGTAAGGCCCGAGGGGGCCTTATCGACCGGGGATAACACTTAACCGCTGTACGGAGTACTCGTTGCGGCCAGCATCTACAAGCATGTCCCCATGTCGAAAATCATCCCAAGTATGCGTATGATCAAACTTATTAGATTTAAGCGTACAGGGGCTTAGCGAGCAGAACGCAACGTCGCAAGACCACCCGGAGCGAGTGGTTTCTTCAGCGCTATCTATCCTTCCTTCTTGAGCTTTATGTTTACTTATTGTAGATACTAAGAAGTCTTTGACTAGTGTATCAATAAGAGCATATTGGCGGCGGGTTTGGCTATCTAAACGGAGTTTAGAGTACGGATAAAGATACCGTGTTAGCGAGTTACTATACAGTAGTACGACGAATACGGAGATGTACGGAGTACCGGCTGCTCGGAAACCGGAGATTCTGATACTTGGCATTCTTGAGTTATTGTCTGGTGCCAATTCATTGCCTGGGGCCGGGTATGCGGGAGCGGGTCGCATAGTACGTACGGAGTACGGTATAGGAAATTTGAATATGAGGTTTGATGGCTCATTCATGGTTTGATACTTTTAGAAGCATATACTACGTAGTAGTACAACTAAGGAGTACAACTACAGTCCACCACCCCTTGAATACATGTCAATCGAGCAAGGGCTCTTACCAGGGCTTGAACCAATGGACTTACGTTGTATAAGTAATGATTCAGCCTTGATAAGTATCTTTAAGCAAGTATTTAGTATATGCAATAGTTGATAAGGCTTTAAGCCACTCAGAAACCACCGCTCTACGATTTATGGGGCCAAACTGGATCCGATATATATTCAGGGGGCGACTGTATATACTACTTAGTATATAAGTTCTACAACTAGTTCCAAGACCAGCAGCGGCTCAGTCATACAGGCTCAGGCTTAGTGTAGCCTAACTGATTGATGGATTGATTGATTGGTTGCTAGATAACTGTTTGATGCGAGGGTAAACGGCTCTACGGGCCATGCATCACCTTCTTCCGCAGAACCCCTTTCTCACACCCGGATATCCGTAAGAAGGGTCTCAATTTTTTTTGCAACCATCCTTGTTAGCCTCCCGGGCTTGAATTCGAGCTTTGATACTTACTACGTATATCGAGGACGCCAAGGCCGGCACCCGTCAAGGCGCAGGGAGCCTTGCGGGGCCTGATCAGCGACTACCTAGGTAGTGCCATTTTATATAGCGGGGCTATCTTAAATCTGAAGTGGCGGGACTACATCAAAAGTATGATATCGAAGAGCGTCAAACTGAATGATCGGAAGTAAAAAAAATAAAAATGAAGATAGATTAGTTGCAGGTTGACGTACCTATCTATACGTAGTATGTAAGTTCCATTCTCGTCTACCAAATACTTTCCATTTTCACTACGTAATTGCGCTGTTGTATAATAGTTTCGTTAAGCTGAACCACGCGTTCTCGCCCTTCTGCTTTTTGCGATTCCTCTTCGTGCTCTTTTCTAAGAGCATTTTGCGCTTCTTCGAAAGAGATATCAGATGAAAGAGGAGATTCGGATTGCTGCTGCTTGTTATTTGCGAGAGGCGTCATTGCGAACTTAAGAGCGCTTACGAGAAAGGGTGGCTTTCGCAATAATAGCAGACGAAATAGAAGCAGGCATATTGAGGACAGTACGGTGTTAAAAGTGGGAATAGCTTCAATGTTGGTAGCGAAAAGGAAGTTACTTTTTTGTTCCCTCTGTCAATCTGATCTGGAGGGCTAGGTGATTCTCGGTCCAGCCAGCCGGTCGAGGCGAGCCCTGGGAGGAATGGCATACATGAGACATGTATGCATGTACGTACATAGGGTACTTACGGAGAGAAATATATCACTTGTATACAACGTAGCCGACAATAAGATGATTTTACATTCGATCTCTAAGCGACGATAGCACAATCATAACAAGCAGCCGTATTCCAGTTCCCAACCGCTCATCCTACCGAAGAAAGCGTTCTCCGCAATTGAAAGAGGTGATCTTGTTGTCGCACATAGCGAGCTCGGGTACGTCTAGCATATAAGTGATAGTAGTAGTAGTAGTAGTAGTAGTAGTAGTAGTAGTAGTAGTAGTATTGATCTACGAACAGGCGAAGCCCGCCGCCCTGGGACCTCCCATAAAGTACGGCGACGTGCTAGGCTAAGGAGTTACATACGAGACGGCCCTAGAAAGCATTTCAAGGTGGTGCAGCGTGGCTGCCATCAACTGCGCCCATCCCCTACGGATAGGATGGATCACAGAAAGAGAGACTCTTGATAGGGTGTGAAACCAAAAAGCAAGACAAGTGTACTCTGTATGCCACCGCAGGCTTCAAAGCCTCGTTGATTCGGTCAACCTGCTTGCAAAGGCGCTTTTCTTGAAAGCGCAGTACAAATCACTCGGTCGGTTCTTTCTAATGCATGCCTACGAAGAAAGTGGAGCTCTAGTCCCGCATGCCTTGACCGCCCAAATTTGTATGCCGATCTACGGAGTATGTAAGTAAGCTTCTGCCTCCGTGTCCTCGAGTTAGCTCAATGTCAGGCCCTCCTCTGAGAGAATTACGAAATGAGGCTACAAATGAATTTTCCATTGGGTAATGCAGTCTTGGGTGCGTTTCGATAGGATTAGTCAGCAGGATCCTCTTTCTGCAGGATACTTTTTCTAGCCTTCTAGGTGGCTTTCGCTGGTCCAAGAGTATTAATATAGGTGGGTTTAGGTGGGTCTACGTAATCAGCTTTCTTGGAATACTAAGACACTCTTAAGATACCTTGACGGGTCAGAGACAGCTTGATAGGTACTTATTAAGGTAATCGCCAGGGCCACCCTTCCTTTGGCTTTTGAAATTTCCGTTTTTTTAAAGTTTCCGTTTTTCTGAGGCAGCTTCAGGCACTTTGCCTATCGTGTTAACACCGATGTATTGGACCGTGAATGCGCTTGATTAGAGCTTCTTCAAATGAACTCCGCTCTAATCACCCCGATTATGATAGCATATCTTTACTTTTCGATCTAAAGTTGCTCACAATAGAAACAGATACTGGTGGTAGGCAAGCTGAGCAGGGAATAGTCGGAGGAGAGTGTTTTGCTATTGATTTAGAGCTAACATACGTAGTAGTTCGGTCTTAACGCTGATTTGGTATCGACTCCAAGAGTTGACAACACGCTCCGTGTATCAATACATCTATTATCCATCTTCGAATTTGCTTCGAATTTGCTTCGCATCATGCCGAGGCGTCAAGGCATGCTGGCATAGGTTCTACAATGTTCGAGGCGTAGGAAATCATAATCGACCAGATTTACGTAGTACTACGTAGTAATTCCGTATTGCATTATGCAACAGCGATTTGAATTTTTTTTTTAGTCGTAACTATCTGACCCACCCATCACACCTACGGTGTACCCTCTCCCAGGTCTTTGAATGATTTCCCAGGTGGAACTCTGTGTTCCTTCCGCATGCACGCCTCAACCAAACCACTCCCATTCTGCCCGCCTGCCGCTCTCCGTATGCAAGCAAGCCTTTACCGTACTTATCTCCTCCTTATCCCCGACGCATCTTGACAAGCCAAGTCCGCGGAGCTCCGTACACACAGTACCTCACCGCCGGAGGGGGGCGACTCCAAAAAAGTATATCTCTCCCCACACATACCTAAGGTTCAATTGATGATCCTCTTCTTTCGCAAGCTTTCATCCGCTAAGGATCTCCCCTCTAAACAAGCCCCCCTTGGGCTTCCTAACCTTGGAGCGGCAATTATTGTGCCTACGTGGGCGGTAGTTGGAGGAAATAGATTGCAACTTGTCTGCCTCTCTTTGAACGGTAAGTAGCAGGACAGTTACCGGTACAGTACAACTAGTGTATCATTCCGCTTGATCTGAACAGAGCTAAAGCATCTCCTTTTCCTTTCATGCGTAGTTCGGGCCGGTCCGTTTCAACCTGCCATCCATCATTCGAGCAAGAAGAAGCGCTCTGCAAATCTTTTTTTTTTTAAAAAAAAGTTTAGCTGGTAGGTACGTACGTACGTAGTAGTTTAGTTTCCATTCTAAACCCCCTGGTTACCCTACCCTCAGGGGTAATACTTTACGCCTGGGACGCAGTAGCAAATCAGTCAGTACGGAGTATCTCTCTCTGTCCCTTCCTCTAATGTGCTACGCATAATTCCGTAAAGAGAGGGAAAAAAAAAACCTATTCATATTGAAGCAGCAGTTAGTTCAAGGCGTTAAGGCATGCGAGATTACGGTTCGGTTCTACTACTTACTCTGTACTAGTACTACGTATGTTCGAGGCATTGGAAAGGCAATCGAGCTTTTAGGACATACTACGTCGCAGGCGTAAGTATTACCCCTCGAGGGTAGGGAAAACAGGGGGTTTAAAGTGGAAACTAAACTTTTAAGGCACCCTCGAGGGGTAATACTTAGGCCTGTACCGTGGTACTACGTAGCACCGAGTGAGCCACAAGCCCTTCCCTGTCCCTTAACCTCTATGGGTTCCGTTCTATTAATCTGCCGGTTGCAAATTTTAGGGATGGAATGAATATACTACGTACGTACATTCAAGCTCTTCTTTCTACATTTCTGTGGGAGCGAACGGTCTTTTGTGTCTCGATAGAAATCCGTAATAGTATGAAGTGTATCACCAAAATTGGATTTGGGAGGTATCTGATTGATCGCATACTGAATGTAGTTCTTGATAACTCCGTACTTCCCTTCCTAATTGAAAGGGTAGCTAGCAGTCTCCGTATTCTGTATACTAAGCCCCCCCCCCTTCAAGAAAAGATTACAGTTCAATTTCGCAAGGGCTTTTACCGGGCTTGAACTAGGTAATAAACTCATACTACTTAGTACTTAGCGAGTCAACCTTGAAAAGTGTTGTAGTATCTTTAAGCAATTACTTACGGAATACGGAGTCTGTGCAGTAGAATTTGACAAGACTTTGAGCCTTCAGAAACCACCGCTCTCCGTATGATCTATCATCTAGGTATGTGTATAAGGCTAAGCCGGGTCCGACATTTATTCATGAGGGGGGGGGGGATAGTACGTAGTATGATTAGACAAGTACTCAAAACTCCCCGTATAAGGGCCATGTCCCTAAGCGAGAAGAACCTTAGCGAGAAGCGTGGGAAGGGGTCGACGAATGAGAAAGCGACACTTGACAGAATAAACATTTACCCTGGGAAATAAGGATGTGAACGAAATGTCCTTATTGGGAGTATCCGCATGACGCAGTACTACAGTAGTCTCGAGTGCTCCGTAGGAGCACGTTCTAATTATAGAGCGGCAGCTCGGCAGTCGGTCGGGTCCCACAGGTTCCGAATCTAGTGTACGGCGGGAGAGCCAGGTGATCGAATGTGATCGAATGTGCACAGTCGGACGGAGTACGGAGTACGGACTAGTTGTACCTGTCACCGGGGAGACGATTTGCCGCGCCGACTCGGAGAAATCTTCCACAGCCCTGTCTGTCAATAGTAGAGAATACGGAGAGAAGGCGAGGATCGTACAGTACAGTACCGTACAGTAGGGAATACCTACTACGTAGATTTATTGATTCATCCGTTCATGATCCATTCATTTTACCCATCCATTCCAGAGGACATGAACGGATGGATGGATACAGTAGGTATACGCATGCCCCACCCACGTCATCAGGGCCTGGGATGATCATGATTCACAATCAGCCTTCCTCTGGCGGCCGCACTGGGTGACAGACTAGGGAATGGGGCTGGCTAGTGGTCCGTGGACTGACTTGACTGACTTGACTGACTGACTGACTGACTGGCTGACTGACTGGCTGACTGACTGGCTGACTGACTAACTGACTGACTAACTGACTGACTAACTGACTGACTGGCATGCGGATAGATGGGTGGCAGTGGCGGGAGAAAAACCTGGGGAAGACTAGGGTCCAGTACTAAGATCATCCTAATTAGTACTGTACCAGCCGCCTATGAGCCTGAGGGCCCCACCTTTCAGTCCGTGATTGGCTGGCCAAGCGGAAGGAAGAAAGCTAACGTCTTCGACACTGAGGCACGGGAGGTCCAGGTCCAGGTCCAGGCCGAGGCCGAGGCCGAGGCCGAGAGCCATGATCGGGATCCACTAGGTCCACTAAAGTACTACTACTGTAGGTAAGGTACCTACTCTTCTGGTGGCGGCGCTTATTAATTGATGGTCCATCCGTCTCGCGTCTTTCGTCTTTCCATCGAAACCCATGGATCATGGATGATGAATGATCTATATATCGGTCAGCTGCTACTCATGGGGGAAAAAAAAACAAAAAAAACAAAAAAAATACAAAAAAATACAAAAAAAAAAAAAAAAATACAAAAAAAAAACAAAGGGACCCCAGAACTTCCACACTCATCCCCGGAAAATGTGGATTTCTATCGTCGTCCACAAGACGAATGGATGCGTAGCTTCTCGCTGCTATTGTAATCCGTACATAATACATAGTAGTAGCTGGGCCGCCGGGCAGAGACTGAGCCGAGATTGGTAGAGGGCAATACTCCGTACATGCATGCATGATGCATAATGGGCCGCAGTCTGGTGGGGTCTTGTTTTGTTTTGTCTGGTCTTGGTCAAGTCCTGTGCGTTTCGTACCTTATCACGCGGCGCATAAGTAACGAAGAGGCGAGGCGACGCGAGGCAGTGCGAGGCAATACGAGGCAATACGAGGCAATAGATCTACCTAGTAGGTCGCACTTCCGCTTCGCACATACGGAGAAACATACTTTGTATAGCTGAAAGTTATCAGTACCGGTATATATCATCTGGAGAGAAAGCCAGACCAAGGGAAGGAAGGCTGAGGCCCAGCGGGAACGAAATGAGTATCTGGAAATCCATTCCGTTCGGTTCTTTCTGACTCCTGGTTCCTGGTTCCCTTGCCGTCCTCTCTCGGGGCCTACCTGTCCTCTGCAGTCAGATGGAAGGATATCTTCGGCTCTGTCTCTGTGAACAGTAGATGCAGTGCAGGCAGGGGTAGCTACACTACTACACTGCAATGCATTGCACTGCACTGCACTGCACTCACTATATAGCTAAAATGGACCGACGCCGCGTTGGAGAGAAGATCCTACTCGTACGTAGGTACTCCGTAGAAGTTCCGTAGGTAGTTGTTAGCTTTGACGGCTTAACGCACAGCCAATTCCGCCTCTGCAGATCTAAGTCGGGTGGGTAGCTGGCAAGAAAGGGGGTGCCGTGCTTAAGTCGTTTTCGCATTTTTATCAGCCAGCGAATGCTCAGGAGTAAATAGGTACCGGTAGACGGACGGGAGTGAAACTGACTGATGGAAGTGGCGGCGGTAAGATGGATAAAGGAATTTGAAGTTGTATTATGTATGACTGAGCCCCACCATCTCGAAGCGAGACCCCGAGTGGCGTCGAAGGGGTTGGTATCATGGTACCTATCTACTTACCTATGATAGGAGAGATACCGATTAATTTTCTAACTCTAGCTCTAGCTCTAGCTTTAGCTCTAGCTCTAGCTCCAGCTCCATCGACAAACAGCCCTGCCATCTCGACTTCCATTCGAGCCGGTCAGCCACCGCTTACCTAACTCGAGTACCCTCAAGCGCCCTGGTGTTTCGGCGTAGAGCTAGTGACCGAGTTTGGCAGCCCGTAGGAGTAGGAGAGTGGATACTGGTGTCGACAAAATCCATTGCGGCATCTTGGTATCTCCATCTTCGGCTGGGGGATCCTGCCTTCTTCTGTCTTGGGGCCGGTGCTTTTGGTTTGGGTTCGGAGCGCAGCTTTGAAGCAAAGTCCTACTCCTTACCACTACCTACAACTAGTTCAGAGCCGTTGCTATCGCTCATTCCCAGAATCTGAGCTTAGTCAGGGCCTAATGCCCTCCCTAGCGGCTTGCCTACGTAGGGTGTGATTAGTGCCCCTGCAACATGCAAAGTAGAGTCAATCACTATACTCACAACATTCAATACAGAGTCGTGAATTTGTTTCGAGTACATTCTCTATTGCTGTCGTCTTTTCTCTATCGTTCCTTTTCTGTCCTGTCTAGTCCTGTCCAGTCTTGTCCGGTCCGGTTTCTTTGTGCTGATCGCCGTCAAAGAGCAAAACAAAGCTCACGTCAACAATTCACATACACATACCTACCAGGCCAATTCGGACGGGCTGGATGGGTATCCTCCTCCTCCTCCTCCCATTCACGGCTACTGCACCCTCGCCTCTCTGGACGGATCAACATCTTCAGATTCGATCTGATTGATTCGGCTAGAGCTTGCAACGGCGATTGCGTGGTCCCATAGCGGGAGCGATAGCCACTGGAGCAACGCATACCCCACCCCTCCAATCCTGTCGGGACCTATGATTGGGAACGCCGTAAGTCAAACTCTCCATCCATTCTCAACCTACCATCGCCCACGATCGCTCTGCTTTCCACGCCAGGAACCACAGAAGGCCGAAGTGTTGAGATCCCCGTTTCTGTAGCATGCCACCACCAAATCCGAGATCCGGCCTTCCTTCGCACAACCTCGTCTGCCACAGAAGATGCTGAGCGAAGCAGCAATTCATGAACAACAGCCGCTCGTCATGCGTCCCGCAACGTCTTCCGCTGCTACTGCGACTAATAGTGGGTTGAGTAATGCTGAAAATGGTATGTCAATAAAGCAATGCCCACTCGCGCTCTTGCGCCACTAAAGGTGTGATGGATGGACCGATGGATGTGTTTGAGAGCTACGGAATTCCCTTTCGTCTTGTCCTACGCACCGCTGTTCCCATGGCTAATTCGCTCTGAAGGGATTGCCTCCAACTCAAAGTCTGCCAACAACTTCCCCCCACCAAAGACCGACAAGCCGAGACCTCACGTATGCGGTACCTGTCAGCGATCCTTTGCTCGATTAGAACATCTCAAGCGCCACGAGCGCTCACACACTAAAGAGAAGCCCTTTGAGTGTCCGGAATGTGCAAGATGTTTCGCGCGGAGGGATCTGCTACTGCGGCACCAGCAGAAACTCCACATGACAACTACGCCTTCTTCGAGACCCAAAAACCGCCGAGAGAGTGCTGCGAGCAGCACAGCGGGGCCTGGGAGAGCACGAAAGTGCTCCGTTGCCACTGGGCATGGAGCGGCGAGCATGAGACCAAGAGCCAATACCATAAGCCATGTCGATGGGGCCCATATGCAACTCATGGCCGCTGCCAATGTCAATGTTGCTCGAAACGGGCTTGCTCCCACTCATAGCCGCCATCCGAGTCTCGCGGGTCTGCCGATGCAGAATGACTACCACTTCGGTGGGATGTCTGCAGCGCTTGGACAGAGAGGCGTGAATCACAGCCTGCCAAAGTTGGAAACGCACACCTTCAGTAACAGTGAGTTTGGAGGTGGCTTGAGGACTGCTCCTGTTGCAGGTGGATTCACCCCGGATTTCCATTACCTCGTCAACCCGGAATGGGATGTGGAAGGGCTATCGATTGGTCCCAGCTCGACTATCAACCCAAACGCTCTGCATTACAGCGACTCTCCGCAGTCCATGGCCATTGACTCGGTTTCTCCTTACCTCCAAGCTTTTTCGGACCTGTCGGCTAATCAGACTACGGATGAGACCTTTGACTGGATGAATAGCTTTCAACAGCAGATATCGTTCCAAGACGGGAATGAGAATGCCATTGACGGATCCTCCCCATCTGCAATTAGCACCGCAAGTCAGAGTGGGATTAGCGAAGTTATGCTGGATGGGTCGAATCAAACAGCGGGTTCGGCCTCATTGTGGAACCAGTCAATGATGGCACCTGCTATGGTGAACTTCAATCAGTTTCCCATGGATCTGGGCAATCAAAATTTTCATGACTTGATGAACGGTGGCGCTATGTCTGAACACAACCTCTCGCAGAATCCGAACGATGCCTACTTCTCAACCCCTCCACCATCCATGAGCTCCCTTAGTCCATCTGTAATGCCCGGCATCACAACCCAAGGTTTTCATCCACTGATCAACCTTGGGCCAGAAACACCAATTTCTATGAACGGTAGCCTGAATTCCTTATCACCTCTGGCCACAATCACGGATTTTACCCGCCAATCTCTCATGGCTGCGCTTGCGCAGGGCGCCCCGTTTGGCGGACGTAAATACTCGTTTACAACAACGAACAGCTCGCCGCTATCTCCTCATTTCCCGGGACGATCAGCGAGCGTCAGCGATGGAAGCAGAAATCTTCCAAGTGAGTTTTGCTCGATCTCCAGCGTTGATTCTGGATCTCCGAAAAATGAATGAAATGCCAACACAACAAAATTCTTGCCATGATCTCCGCTGTGCCAAATTGATTGTACTGAGTACTGACCCTGCCTTTTAGGCACTCATGACCTCCAACGATACATTGGCTCTTATATCCGATACTTCCACCCCCACTTACCTTTTCTACACATACCCACTCTTTCTTTTGCGGTCCCATCTTATACGGCCGACGGCCGAGGCAATCCCGGGCTCATGGGGGGGACTGGATGTCTCATTCTTTCAATGGCAGCCATCGGCGCTTTGTATGAGATGGAGCAAGTTCAGTCGAAGGACCTTTTCGAGTCAGCCAAGAAAATGATCCAATTGTATCTGGAGGATCGGAGAAAGGCCGATGTCAGGAAGGCAGATCACCGAAAGGCCAGCATCGACCGCGGATCCAGATCTCCCGAGGTCTCAGTGCATACCCCGGTCTGGCTCGTCCAAGCTATGTTGTTGAACGTGGTATACGGGCACAATTGTGGCGACAAGACTGCTGGAGATATCGCGAGCACGCATTGTGCAGCGCTGGTCAGCCTCGCTCGAGCAGCCGAATTGCTGAAACCCGACGTTCCGCAAGGCCAGAGCCGCCAGGATACTCATATGAGCGATGAAGGGGCGCCGGGCGAGTGGAATCATGATGGGGTCAAGATGGAAGTGCTGGACGAGAATCAGGAATGGTACACTTGGAAAATCAGAGAGGAGCGCAAGAGAACCCTGTACGCGGTATTCATCCTATCGAGCCTCTTGGTTTCCGCCTACAACCATACGCCTGCTCTGACGAATTCCGAGATCATGCTTGATCTTCCTTGCGATGAGGAATTGTGGACGGCGGACACCGCCCGGAGCTTCTATGCCCAAGGCGGTGCTCCTACGGCGAAGCATAATCAAGCCACTTTCCACGATTCGTTGAGCCAGCTGTTGCGGACCAGTGAGAAGCAGCAACAACAGATGGGAAATGGGCAGTGGAACGGGGAGCTCCCAGCTAGCAATCTTCGCCCAAGTACATTCGGCTGCCTAGTCCTTATCAACGCTCTCCACAACTACATTTGGGAGACACGGCAGCGACACCACAATAAAGTCTGGACCAACGAGGAGACTGAAAAGATGCATCGCCATATCGAGCCGGCTCTCAAGGCGTGGCAAGCTGCATGGGCCAGCAACCCTAACCACAGTCTAGAGCGACCCAATCCTTTCGGTTTTGGGCCGCTTTCCGCTGATAGCATCCCTCTCTTGGATCTCGCATACGTTCGGCTCTTTGTCAACCTCTCTCGATCAAAGGAGAAGTTCTGGCAGCGCGACTGGGACGGAATGGCGGAAGAGCTGTCGCGTGGAAGCGAGATTGTTCAGCACGCACAGCACTCGCCAGACTCCAACTCGGAATCAACAGACCCTTCTGACATGTCCACCACTAGCTCTGTCTTTGTTGACTCTCCTCCCATGTCCGATTCCTCTCCCGATTTTAAGGCAACCCGAGTACCAGCCAATGGCAACTACTCGACGTCCCCACCAGTATCGTCGACAAAGCGAGAGAAACACCTTCGTAAAGCTGCCTTCTATGCTGCGGATTCCCTCCTCATGTCGAACAAGCTTGGTGTCACGTTTGCAGACTTTACCTCCCGGGAGCTCCCACTCCAGTCGGCCATGTGCGCATTTGACTGTGCTCAGGTCCTCGCCGAGTGGACAGCAACTGTTCAAGAGCGGGTCGGGCGCTATTTGGGGATACTCGGCAGAGACAATATTGACTTCACCCAAGTTCCTGCCATCATGCTGCTGGACGAGGAGGACTCCGAGCTTCTCACCAAAGTCCAGGAAGTGCTGAACAGAGCCGAGATCAAGCTGAATTACGAGCTTGCGAGAGCCGGAGCCAGTACGCAACGACTCCCTGGGGCCGAGGCTTGCGGCTACGGAGGAAAAATATTGAAGGTGACGGCCTACATGTTGGATCGGGCCGCCATCTGGCCTGGTAAGTCTAGCGACATGGATTCCGGGAGCACTGCTAACAAAGAAATAGTCACTCACCTCATGGCACGCAGTCTGGAAACACAGGCCAACCATATGAGAGCACGGGCCGAGGAATCAGTAGCTCATCGTGAGTAGAAGCGATCACTTCCACTTGTGATACAACGGGATTTCAAAAAGCAAACACGGGATCGAAAAGCATACACCAAAAGCATCTCTCTGTAAAAAAGTACGACATTTCAGACGACCGAGGGTCTCCACACTCTCATCAATGTGTATTTATCCCACGGTACATAGTTGCGGACAACCGTACTTTGATCGGCAAATTTTTTCTTTGCGGCGGATGGCGCATTTTTTCCCCGAAGACGATTCTACGATTATGATATTTTCGAGTGTCTGCGGAAGTTCCTTTCTCCTACGTCAAGGGATGAGTGGAGGCGCGCAGACCTTACATGGCCTTCTTCTCGGCCGCAGTCCCCGTCGTACTCACCGATGATCAGAAGCATAGCAGTAATTCATCGCCTTCAAACGATCGTTTCTGATCTCTTGGAAGTTTATTGGACAGCCTTGCAGGGTCTGCATCTCGTCTCTCTCCTCTATTCTTGCACGGTATCTGCGCATTGAAGATGGTTGTGATTCGGTTCGTGTTTTGGCTTGGGCGTCCTGGCGCGGAAGTGGGGGGGGGGGTTTCTCCCGCCTGCTTAACTTTCTCGACTAACGAAGATAAATGACATTTGATGGCTCTTTGGCGCAGCGATGGAGGGTGTTTCCCCCCCCCAGAGTTCATGGAGTGGAAATGAAACTACACAAAAACTGGAATTGGGAATTGGGGGGCGGTGGGCAGGGGCGTGTTGGGGGGCTTTATTCAACAGTGCCTGGGCTTTAGTGAAGGGAAGGGGATGGAACGGTTGGGGAATATGGGAAAGGAAAAGGGGAGTGATGGAATGGGATGGTTGGATGGAATGTTTTTTGGTGGAAATGCGAATGAGGTATGGGAATGGAAATGGGATGAATGGCTGTCTACGGGGCGTAGGCTTACTTTCATGTTGCTTTTCGCTGCTGCAGAGGCTTTTGCTAGTGAGCCCGAGAGCAGTGGCGGGCTGGTTGGCTGGCTGGCTGGCTGGCTCCAAAAGGACCGAAAGATGAGTGAGCAATGAATGCCAGTGTGTGATTGGCCATCCCAGAGAGAAGTTGTTTTGTCCTCTACGCTGCGAGTAAGCTGAGTTGAGTTGAGTTGAGTTGAGTTGAGTTGAGGTGAGGTGAGTTGAGTTGAGTTGAGTTGACTTGGGTTGAGTTGGGTTGAGTTGAGGTGAGTTGAGGGAGAGCTGAGTTGAGTAGAGTTGAGTTGAGTTGAGTTGAGTTGAGTTGAGTTGAGTTGAGTTGAGTT